AAGGCAATAATGTGACCCATTTTGTGTGTGCTATATGCAGATTACATCCAGAAAGAACCATTTAACTGACCTATGTTCTGTTACCACTTGCACATCATGTGACTGATAAAATATCAAATTATATTTTCAGGATAGAATGATAATTTATATTTACCTAAGTAACACATTTCTGGAAAAGCATCCAGGCTAATTTTATGGACAGGCTTTAATTTTCAGTTAAGACCAAATAAGTCATAGATATGCATTTTCATTCATGCCCCTTATGTTGGCATTTCTTGAGTATGAGTTACCAGATGCCTTATAGCATCTGGCTTCTGTTTAGGATGAATTCAGTTAGTCAGACCATTAATGATGGCTACACTGAGACATAACTGGAAAAAAAAAAAATCACTCTAAACGTTTATGGGCTTTGTAACATTAACAGTTGCATTAAATCCCACTGAAATGGACAGACAGAATGAAGGGGAAATGTTCTTTTGTTTAGATATATTTGAGCTCATGCTTGAAGATTCCTTGTCTGAATATCTGAAAAGCCAATCTTGAAGGCAGCATGTGATTCCTCTTTAGGACCCAACAGGGATATAACCCCAGGGCAGTGGGGAGAGAATAAAAATATAGAAGATGGCAGGGGAGATAAGCCAGAAGAAGATATGGACCTAGATAAGGTCCATAGGAAAGAGAGCTAAACAGAAAATCCACATGCGTGGAATTTCGGACCCAAGTGCCAGCTGGGAAATGGGCTGAGCTCCACCAGCAAAGACACACTTGCCTTCTTCATTGCTCTTCTTCTCAGGCTGAATCATCCCCCTGTTTTTCTTCTAATGGGAATAAACTCTCTCAATAACAAAACAACAAAAACAGCACTGTAGCTACACCTGGTGTTTACAACTGTAGGTCTCTCCCTGTCGTTACCTCTTCCTTCTCTGTGGGGATTCTTGAAAGTCTTCTTAGAGACACAGTCCTGACCTCAGTCCCTCTTAGACAGACAATCCTGACCCACTTGGCGAGCTTCTGGGGGGAATGTGCACATGAAACTCACTGCTGGACAACTGCCTACAGCCTCCAAGGGCACCTTAGTAGTTTTAACAGAGTGGGGCAGATTTCAGCTAATAGAGCAGTCCCTAAAGATAAATTTCTCTGATAAGCTTTCTTATCTCCTCAAAAAAAGATGAGAATAATTTATTCATGAGATTCATATTCATAGGAAACTTATCATTTAAGAACTCCAGATTCTTAAGAAATCGAGGTTATATCACTCGCTCCCTCATATGTTTTCTGTGGATCTGTGGTCAAATCACTCAGAGAAGGATTCATCGCATCTCCTTCGACTCTTTCAAAAGTTAGTTAGGCAGCACAGCAACTTGCCTTTGGCTCTGTCTTTAGTCACTTCAGAGGCACATCCATGCCTCCAGGGTGTGATTCACCCCATCCTAATGCAGAAGCAGAGCATTAAGTTGAACACTCTTAATTTTGCTTCCTTTGTTAACTGCAGTCCAGAGACAGTTTCTGCGTTGATTATTTTACCCATTTTATTTCATTGACTTAGTCAATGGAGAGAGTTAGGCATCCCTGGATGTAAGTACATCTCACCTACCAGACATCTGGCTTAGGAGGGCTGAATCACACCCAGGAGATGCCTCTCTCTCTATTGACTGCAGAAGTTGTCCTAAATTGTTGCTTCAATCTGGCAATTTGTGCACGGCTAGCACTGGTGAAATGAATCTCCCACTCACTTCCTTCACTAATAGAGAATCTCGTGTTCTTCCATCCCATTCACAGCGGAGATGATTGCTTTCACTCACGTTTTCCGTCATTGTTTTGGTCCATGAGGCAGAAGTACACCTCCAGGATGAAAGAAGTCTGGAGGTTTCAGTGTTATGTGTTTTCTCCCCTGTGATGTCTTGCGCAACAATGAGACCTGCTCTTTCTCCACACAAAGTTCTCATTAACCACGTTGATTACCTGCTAACCACAGAGTCTTATTTTTTGAAGGGATCTCTGGTGGTTTGGAGTTTTATTTGCTTTGGTGGGTTTTTCAGAAAAGAAGCAAAGCAATAAACAGCAGTTTTGGTTCAGAGTCTCAGCCTCACCTGAAATGGATACAGAACAACTTCTGGGGAGTGAGAGTTTTGAGCCACTGTTGCTGTTTCTGTTTCATAGACCCATCAGCTGTACCACTACATGCACCCACCAAACCCTCTAGTCTGATCTTCAGCTTGTCATTGTGTTATTATATTTTGCTCCATCCTCCGTCCTGACTCCATGTCAGGCAAGTTCCTGAATATGAAGTAGAAATATGAGTTAGTTCTTGTACTAACTCCCCATAGGTCTATTGTACCAGAGTATGAAAAAGATCCTCCTTCTCATTCTGATCACTTCTCTGGCCAGGCAGGGGATAGAGTGAGAGCTACTATGAAAGCAAATGGTCATCAGAGGACCCACGTCCTTAAGTAAAAAATAAGTTACTGTGACCTAAAAAGATATTGAGCAACACTTTAGTGACACATACAGCCTGCGTGGGCACTTTTAACCCACAGCAAATGTGAAGAAGTTTGACTCAGACAAAATTACCGGACTATCATTTGAAGTTACACTGAACCACCTTGCTCTGCCAGGAGTCTCAAACTGGACGGGCAGCTTCTACAGATCATCTGACAAATACTGACTTGCTATGCCATAGTGACTGCACTTTGCCTGTGAACCCAGAACATTTATATAAATGATGCTGGATTCTGACAATAATTAATATCTGTATCCATCTCTCTGTTTAAAGTCCTTTCGCAACACCCACCACTATGTTAGCTCAGCTCATGATATATGTTCATCCCCACAATATTCCTGGGAAGTACAGTAATGCCTTTTCCCATTTTGTACATATAGCATCATCAAGACATAGTGAAACTAAGGGCCCATTTAGTCTGACATAGCACAGACAGATATTTTCAGAATAAACTATACTTTTTTTTCATGTTCCAAGTCAACAATTCCCCCTCTTACTGTGTAGGGAGAAAAATCTGTGACCATAGCTTTTTTCAGTGGTCTGCTGAAGCCAAAAAGCCTCAGCCATTTAGCAACTGCATCAGGAGATTTAACTCTGTGTCCTGCTGCATTGGTAGGTAACACTGCATTTAGCCTCAGTGAGTTTTCAAGGGCATAAATAAGAATTGATACCTTAGTTCATATGGGTAGTTTCAGATACTGACCAGTGTATTATTTCAAAATGTGCACTGTAGTAGAGGGGTGCTTTCTATGAAATAACCCAGCTTATATTAAAATCATACATAGAAAATCTAAAAATTAAAATATGTTCTTGCAACAAACATTACATTGTACATTTTATTTGCTTCTTTTTTTTTTGTAAAAATATTAATTGAATAACTCTTTTGTTTCCTTTTGTTTTTTACAATTGCAACTCTGCTAATAGAAAGTGTTTTATACAGGTAATTTGTACTCGATCTGAAGAGTACAACAGCCGACAGACTTTATGCAATGCCGCAAGTGAGGGCCCTATACTGCGAAATCCTGGGAACAATGATAAATCAAGGACCCCAAGGCTCCCATCTTCAGCTGAAGTTGAATTTTGTCTGACACTGACTAACTATGAATCTGGATCCATGGATAAAATGGCCAATTTCAGTTTCCGAAACACTTTGGAAGGTAACATATTTTATTGTATTACACCATTTCCATCTGTGAATTGATTCTCCCTGGGGTTAGAGTCTTTAAACCCTGGACAGTTTGAGCTGATTCCATAAAGCATCACACAAAAAGAAAAAAAAAAAAAAAAGAAGAAAAAAAAAGAAATAGTTATGCTTTCTCCTGGAATAGCAACAAACAGAAAAAATCACATTAAATGCAACTAGATCAGACCCTAAATACATCTATTAAGAGGTATTATCTCCTCCTGTGGTCAGCACCAGGCACAGCAATGCAATCTAACACTGCATAAAAGGTGATCATCTAATAATCTACCTACACATGATCACAACCATGTCCATGTGGGTTATAAGTTTCCCCTGGAATCCACTGTCTTCCAGAGGCCTGGCTGGACAACAAGGGTGAAAGAGGATGCTGACAGTTTGCATATTATGTCTATGTTCTGCCACTGTGAACTCCACAGCAAACTTCTCCCCGAACTCTAAGGATTACAGATTAAGTTGCACCTCAAAAATGATCTATTTCTAGAAGAATTTAGTTATTTATCTTAATGATCTAACAATCTAACTTGTTTTGAATGTTCCTGGTTTGCTAACAAACAAGGATTCTTTCCTAAAAGAGATAGTTACTCTTAATTATCTGTCTACCCAATCTCTTTTGAAACTTGATAAATTGCTAACAAGGATAGCACATAGTATATTTATCAATAAATATTGCTACAATATCATATATGAATATGAATATTCATATATGAATCATATGAACCAAATATTATTTACTTTTGATGTCCCAGAGATTTTTGCTTGCAAGGAACTGTGCAAGGGCCGAAACAATGCAATAAAGGAGTTGGTGTGAGGACAAGAAAGCAAATCTTTTAATATGTTTATTGCCTCAGACTGAGGCAATGAATGTCCCCTCCTTAGATCCTCAGTAGACATGAAACCAAAACCCAAAAACAACCTAATATTAGATCCTCTCTATTCTAAGGAAATCCTGTTAAGAAAGTGACCATGTTTTCTCATAGTCCAACTCCCAGTGTAATTAACCAGTTACTATATTGTTGTCTAACTGTTACAGCCTAGCTAAAGGAGCTCTACAGAGCTCAAGAGCTGATATGGAAGAGAGTAAAGGTCGAGTGACGTTACCTTTCTTTCCATAAGAACATTTCCTTAGAGTCAGAGATCACTGGAGTGAAACTGTGTCCACAGTGTTCCACAATAAGGGGCTTTTTTGGGTGATGAGTCTGTCAGAATGCAAGCCAGATGTGGCTCGGTAGGCATTTATCTATATTATTACAGAAATTGAGCTTATTCCATTCTACACAGTGTTATTCTGAGACAGTTTTTTTTTTCCATTTCTTCTCCTTGAGGATATATATTATTTTTAACTTGAATTATTTCAACACTCAACTTTACACCACAAGACCATAAACATTTCTGTCAACTAACACACTTATTTAGATAACAAGATACTGAACTGCAATGTGAAGCCAAGAACACATGACTAATGTTGAAAAAGGTGGTGGAAAGTTCTTAAACTAATTTTACTGCCAAAAAGCCCATATTGTGTTAGTTTTTTTTCTTACAAATGGCCTGCTTAGTTTTTTGTTGTGTACAGATGCCAAGCTTAATTGCCAGCTTGCATTTATTGTGCCAGTGCCCACTTTTGCGCAACGGCATTCTCACAAACTTGCTAATACTCTATAGTTGCTAACATTTACTTCTTTTTCTAAGCAAAAAGCTTTTCAATGCTTCTTTACTTGTTTACACAAGTTTGTGCCAATACACCTAAGGTCAAATTCTAATCTCTTTTAAATCCAAAGTAAATCCAAAGTAAGGCCATTGACTTTACTGGAGTTACTCTAGACTTAAAAAAATCATAGAATCATTAAGTTTGGAAAAAGGTTAAGGTTCTTAAGGTTCATTAAGGTTCTAGATCATAGAATCCTAGAATCCTAGAATCATTAAGGTTGGAAAAGGCCTCAAGGATCATCAAGTCCAACCATCAACCCAACACCACCTAAGTCACTAAACCATGTCCCTAAGCACCACATCTACACATTTCTTGAACACTTCCAGGGATGGTGACTCCATCACTTCCCTTGGAAGCCTATTCCAATGCCTGATCACTCTTTCAGTGAAGAAAGTTTTTCTAATATCCAGCCTAAACCTCCCCTGGCACAACTTGAGGCACCTCTTGTCCTATCACTTGTTACTTTAGAGAAGAGGCCAGCACCCACCTCACTACAACCTCCTTTCAGGTAGTTGTAGAGAGTGATAAGGTCTCCCCTCAGCCTCCTTTTCTCTAGACTAAACAACCCCAGTTCCTTCAGCTGCTCCTCATAAGACCTGTGCTCCAGACCCTTCACCAGCTTTGCTGCTCTTCTTTGGACCTGCTCCAGCACCTCAATGTCTTTCCTGTAGTTAGGGGCCCAAAACTGAACACAGTATCTGAGGTGCAGCCTCACCAGTGCCGAATACAGGAGGATGGTCACTTCCCTGGTCCCGCTGGCCACACTATTCTGATACAAGCCAGGATGCTCTTGGCCTTCTTGGCCATCTGGGCACATGCCAGCTCATATTCAGCTGGCTGTTGATTGACATCCCCAGGTCCTTTTCCACCAGGCATCTTTCCAGCAACTCTTCCCCAAGCTTGTTGTTGTGATCTAAGTGCAGGACCCAGCACTGAGCCTTGTTGAACCTCATACAATTGGCCTTGACGCATCAATCCAGCCTGTCCAGATCCCTCTGTAGAGTCTTCCCACCCCCAAGCAGATCAACACTCCTGCTCAACTTGGTGTCAGCTGCAAACTTACTGAGGGTGCACTTGATCCCCTCAGGGTGCACTCAGTCCCCTCAACATACAACCTGCAAAGCAGAATTTGACCTTTAAATTCTCATCAGCCCTAACCACTGGCCTAGAAAGCCATACAAAACTAAAATGTGTTTTGCAAGAAAACCAGTTTTGCTTTAAAAAATAACACCTGAAAAACTGTTGTGAATAGCCCAGTGATATTTTAAGCAGTCGCCTAAGAAAATTGGAGGAGATAGGACTGTTGGAATGGTTCTTCCATTCCTGTATCACTGACCACTGCTAATGCTCTCTGAGCTCTGCATACCCTCTGCTAACTGTACTTACAGTGCTTCAGTGAGTGGTAAATGAGCAACTGAGGAAAACACTGCCTGCTTTCAGTATATAAATTTTTGTACTTGTCTGGTTGTACATGGACGTCTGTGGTGTCTGTTATTAGATTGTACAATTTGCAGTTAATATATAATTAAATATTCTGTTAAAAGACATATACCTGACCCAACCGCATGTTCAGTGACAACCACTTATATATCATCCTAAAAACTGTCAGGCAGCCTTAATTTCATGTGGAATCATCAGCTCCTCCTATAATAAACTTTAGGCTAAATCCCCATCTGACTTAATTTGGCCTGGCTCCAGTGAAGCTACTGCTCTCGCTCCTGTTTTGATACCAACACTGGTTCTCATTGTACCTTTACATGAGATACTGTAGCTCAGTAACCCAGAAAAAACCTGGCATCCCACACTCTGGGGTAGTTTATTGCCAGACTAGTGAGCTAAATCAGTCCACAGAAGGAATGATGAGGTGCAGTTAACGCATGGGAGAGGAAGGCATAGCAAGGGGCAAGGAAGGCAGTGAAAGTGGAGTTCCCCTACCTGGAGGCAGGGAGCTCTTATTTTAGCTCACTGCGCTCATAGATCTGTGGCCTCACATTTGCTGTAGTGGTGATTTTACTGCAGCCACCTCAGACATGTTTCCTGTACTCTGAAAAAATTCCCACATTTTCATATATTTTTTTTAATTGGCTCTACCCCTTTTCATATTATGTCATCCTGAATAGCTGATTGTACTTAAGTCTTTTAAAAAGTCTGAGAAAAAAGAATACGATCCAGGCTAATAAAATAAAGTGACACCTCATGTGATTTTATTCCTGCTAACGTTACAATTTATATGGAGTTTTCATAACAAGAGATCAGATATTAAAACTTCTCATGCACGTGGCTAAACATGATGTCACCTTTGACACTGACTGAACGCTTGGTAAAGCTCTCTCGGTTTTGATTATTAAAATAAATTGCTCATTTGCCGATGTTCCGTGAAAACTTGTCCAGAGCCAAAATGAGTATTCTGCGTACTTTTTAATGAATGATCAGATCAAGTGTTTGCAACACATTGAGAAATTTTATGAAGTATCCCAAGTCTGATACAGAACATCTAGCCTTCTGCCTAGACTCTGCATAAAGCTTATCTTCCTTTAAACTTAATGCAGCTGAATAGAAGTGGTAGAGTTGATTCAGAATGATATACAAATAGATAACTTTCCATTAATATTCACAGAAATTTCACAGTATTGCTAAATCAGCTGATTCTAATGATCACACACTGTGGCCACCAGCAAAGGTGGCCAAAATTGTTGCCACTTTCCTGTAAGTTCTGGACAGACTATCAGTGTACATCATTCTTCAAAATTTTATTTTGTCGTTTCCCCTTATTGACAGTCAGGTGACATAGCATTCACAATCAGGCAGATTTCTGTGGGCAAGATTTTCCCTTTGAGAACTTCTGCTTGTTGTTGTTTATGCCACCATGCAATGTCTTCAACAATCCTGGTTCACATCTGATATACTTAAAACCTGCAGTTATCTGTAGGCGTTCCTTTTTATCTCCTAAATCTAGACCACTCCACCCTGAAGTCTTACCATTTTCATCATAAGCCAACTCTACATCCTCCAACTGTCTTGATTATATTTTCTACTCTGACTTCCCTTGAATTTCTCAAAACCTTTGCCATACTATTGCAATCAGAAAGATGAGTGGCTTTTACGGTGTATTGGTTCCTAGGTGCCACAGCTATGATTGATCCTTATTGTAATTATCAGTGGGTTTATGACAGATGCTTTCCCTTGTTTGAAGAGGTTAACAGACAAGATAAAGCCTGATGAGGGAATTTAGAGTGACAAAGCCATGTAATAATTTCACATAGAAGATCGAAGTCCCAGTGGGGTTTAAAAGCCAGGTTTCTACATTCACAGAGTATGACTCTACTCATAAGGCATCTCTAGCCATGTCTCCATTAACACTTTGTATACCTCAAAGAGGAGCAAATCCAAAGAGCAATACAGTCGGTACTAAGGACCCGACTTCCATGTTATACATGAGGATTTGGACAGGGAAGGGCTTCTTTCACATTAGCTCTAGTTCAGTCCCATGAACTGAACACCCAGTGATGGTTGGCATATTTTAGATTTCCTCCGAACAGAATCCAGCTTGCAAAGGCAGAAATTGCCCTGTGGTGTGAGTCACAGCATGAAACAGAAGGACTATTGGAAGACTAATTTCAAAAGTATATTGCTGATCCTTATTCAAATGATAGCTCTTGGTCCAAATAACTAAATAAATCAAGTGTTGAAAGTGTGTGAGCCATTTCCCAAAGAGAAGAGCTAAGATCTTTCTTTTCCCCACCTAACAGATCTGATAAACTGCAACAATATTGGGAAAACACTGAGAATCAGCACAACAAGCATAATGTTCACAGCCCTTTTTATTTGACTATTAAATTGTAAAGATGTTTTAATATGTCTCCACTATGCTTCTGCATCCTACAGCTTACAGAAACTGTGAGAACAAGACAGCTTCAGGAACTAAATCAAAGAGAGAGAACAGAGAGGTTTTGCAGCGAGAGTTAAATAGTAGAACTAGCATCAGGTTAAGAAACAGATTGGGAGGACAACACAAATTTCTGCTTTTATTCTCCTGGAAAATCCCAGAGAAGGATGAGATGGTTGAGTTGACTTCCATTAGGAGTACTTGGAAGTAGGGAGGAAGCTTGGCTGTCAGGACGCTGAGAAGGGCAACCAACATCAGAGCTGAGGTGCGGACAGGCTACCAAAATAAAAACTAACGGAGAGACTCATCTTCCAATATTTCCTATGCAGGGGTTGGGCAGTGTTACCTCTTCTTAAAGGCCATATTTTAAGTGTCCTCCAAAATAGCAGCAATACACAGACTTCCATCATGCAAGTCTGACTGTGGAAGATTATCAATCATTTACCAAATCCTTTTGTAAAATTTATAGGTTGTATTGTATTGGCTCCTATCGATAAAAGAATGTGTTGTAAAGAGGCAAACGATATTAAATGACTGATTATATGATGAGATATCGTCCTGTTTTATAACGACATTATATGATGAGATATCAGCCTGTTTTATCTTAGGAACCTATACATATAGAGATCAAAAATGAATATATAGTGAATATATTTTCTCAGCATGAATAAATGCACACACATAAATGTTTGCAGAGATTACGTTGCCTTTTAACAGCCAGACACAATGGACAAAGAAGTTTAAAAATATAAAGCAATTAAGCAATACATTTGCTGACATGCTGCATTAGCTACATTACTCCTGCACTAGCAGGAGTTTTAATTTAGCTTATTCTAATTTCATCTTTGCTGTGCCTTTGAAATATATTAGCACTCCTTTATGTATTTTCCTAAGCCGTTTTCTAAAAAGCTGAACATAAATGAAGTGAAAGTAGGTACTTTGATCTTCAGTCTTACGGGGAAAAGAATTATACGCATTGTCATATCACCATACGCTTTCCTCTTGCATATATAGGCTTTGCTGATCCACGAACTGGAATATCAAACATATCTCAAAGCGGTTTGCATAATGCACTTCACATCTACATGAATGGCTCCATGTCCCAAGTACAAGGCTCTGCAAATGATCCTATCTTTGTACTACACCACGCATTTGTTGACAGGTGAGTTTAATCCTAGCAAACGTAATTTATTTTGTGTTTTCAGGGTGTGCTTTTCACTTGCATTTCAAAACTGCAAACATTTTACATGGCTTTACATGCACAGCATTTTCAGACGTGTACAGTTGAGCTCTGCTGCTATTTGAGAGCAAGTGTCTTTCCTAACCTGTCTGTATGTTCACTGGATTAAATATAATTTGAGAAGTTGACAAATGCATTCAGCTTTTATTACCAAGGTAAAAATAGTTCTTCAGTGATGTCATAGTGATTAATATATATGGATGTGTACGTCAGGAAGTTTGGACCAAAAGTGTATGACTCATTTTAACATGACTATAATCAGTTGAAACAGTTCCTTTACATTCTAAATGCCAGTGCTGCTTTAATTTCTATTCCATAAGGAAAATACTAGTGTGCTATTCATAAATAAAGAAAAAAAGTCCATATTTCAGTGTGACAAACAAAACTGACTGTCTCTTGATGAAAGAGAGGAGTACAGCTGTGCAGAATGAAAAGAAAGCAAACAGAAGGATATCACAGTTATTAACAAGAAAGGGTAGGGGAGCACAGTTTTTCAAGAAAAGAGTGAAATTGTTATGTTAAAGACAGCATTCCCAGATTTAATGGTGACCTTAAAAATTTCTGTGACACTATAATATATGCAAATGGCTACAAACAATTTACTGTGGATTGTGTTACACCAAACTGTGATGACTAAAGAACTATACAAAAGAAAGTTAGCTAAGCAAAGGACCATAAAAACCACACAAACGATACTTATTCTGGAGCAGTTTGTATGGTGTTACCAATCTTCCTCTACTTTCTCACCATGCACTGACTGTGACTTGGCTACTGTGCTTAGAACAAAAGAACTATTACACTTTATAAACTTTTGGGACATTTTCCATAAATTTGTATGCTTAGAAACCTACTGACTGAGACCCTGCCAGTTTGCAGCAAGGCACTTATTCAGATGATATCCAAAATGGTTCCTTTTTTTGGGACACTGAGGCATGCAGCACAGAAGGGATGTTGATTTCATCTTGCAGACATCATCTTGCAGTGAAATGCTTTAGTTTCAGACAGTTCACAACCAAATCTCCAATATAAAACTGTATTTTATTTAACCAAAAAAGCTAGTTGGTGTAGAAGACAAATTTGAAGTTGGGCTTTTTCTCCTTAGCTTATATATTTAATGAGCCTAATTGTTTTATTCTAACCCATTCAGAAATAGGGCATCAAGTTTAAGCAGGTCACTCAGGCGTCAGTGGAATGGTTTCTTCAAAGGGTGACCCACCTGTCTTCTGCTCCTAATACTGTAGAGTATAATCAGCCTTCTGGAGGTGTCACTTTTGTAATTCTTCTCTGTGAAAAGCTTTTCTTCAGAATATTTTAAAAGTTAAACCTTAGCTGTGATTTAGGATGCCCACCCATTGGCTGCTTGGCAGGATGGATGCACAAGGATTTCAGGTGTGGTTACAAATTTTGAGTTTGGTACCTGGAAATTAACTTTCCAACATCTAGACTATTAAAAAATGGATCAATTGAATATTCAGGGGAAAATAATACAGAAGAAAAAGCATTATGCCTCTGCAATCTCAAAAGAATTGCTTGCCTTAGACATTCACACTTGTGTAAGACCTACGCATCTCTTAGCTCCCACTCATTGCAGGGTTTGAGCAGCACCTTGGTCTTCATGCTGGCCCCTCCCACAGAGGATTTTCAGTCACAGTCACTATGAGCCCCTGGAAATACTTTTCATAACTGTAGTTATTCATTTTAGAAGGCAAAATTATTTGCAAAAGATAACATCATTAAATCCTGCAACTGTTGAGGAAATAAATCTCTGCAGAGGCACTGCGGGGGCAATACAGATACCCATGACGCAACCTCACCACAACTGTGGCAGAAGAACATTACCAGTGCTCTGCAGCTGCTGTGTGTATGAGCTTTAGTACACATGGATGTAAAAACTGATAACAATGCTGCCTCTTGTATAAGTGACAGAAATGCATTAGCATGATTAGGGTTACTTAGCAGCCTTATCCATGACAGATTAATCATGCTTTTAGTTATAATTAATAAGTAGGTGACTGATAGGTACGTACAGTACATTTAAAAAAACCCTGTTTGTCTCCTACATAGACTTTAACTCTGAGGGAATGCGAAGAAGTTATTTTCTGAGAGGCAAGCAAGAATGCAAAGAACAGAGAAAATGGCAGAAACAGTCTCCACAGCAGCAGAAGCACTTTTTCTGGTCCTTATCAACTTTTCTCATTTGGGTGGAACACTTTTGAGCTCATTTCTATCACTATATTGGGCCAATGGGCTTTTAACTAACTTTTTCACTAAATTTGCCAAGGACAGCATCTCTTGCAGGCCTTGGTAAAGACATGGAGAGTTGTAAGATGGGAATGTACTGGCAAAGGGTGTAAAAAGACTGGAAACCAGTAACCATAGGTCTGCTGGGTCTTGCAAAGGCAGGGAACAACTCCATGTCAAAAAATCAAGAAAGGTCCAGCATTTTGAGCATCCATGTAGGATCCAGAAGAGGGATTCCTCACACCACTGCAAATTCCTTGGGTGAAACTGTGTGTGTAGTTTGCTCTCCCAACCTCACATGTCCTGGAGGTGTGTTTCCTCCCCATTGATTTCAACAAGATGTGCCCAAAGGCTTTTGAGGAGCTATTGATCTGAGCTTCAGCTAACCCATCTGTAAAGTGGGTGATATTAGATGCCTACGCAACAGGGACGCTGTCAGGGTAAATGCATTAACGGCTGTGAAATGCTCAGTTACGACCATAATAGGAGTGATAGAAGTAAGGCAATAGATCATTGGAACTGATTTTACATAGAAACATATGGTACAGAGGAGGATAAACAAGCGTATACGGAGTCTGCTGACAGGTGTGAGCCAAATGTTAGGAGCTGCTTTCCAAACTGTGCAACAGGCAGCCTCCCATCTGCTACCCCCAGCCTTTCTTACCCAGGCACAAAATGAGGGAAGGATGGATGGAGCAGAGGTGTAGTTGAGATCTCTCAGGTGAAAAGCAAAGTGTTTGCTTACAAACACTCCCCTCGTTTTTTTTTTTTTAGGTCACTCCCTTTCAGCAGTGCAGTATGAAGGTACCCAGGCAATAGCTTTCTTAGCAATAATAAATCAGGCTCCTTGCCTTCTTATTTGCTAACTAGAAAGCCTAGGGATCAAACCTCAGTGCTTGGTAAAAGCAGGTGACTACCCTGAAAATTATTAATTGTTAATTGAATGGCTTAAAAAAAAAAAGAAAAAACCAACAAAAAATACATTCAGCAAAAATGAGAGCTTTTTTAGCTCTCTGAAGCATTTCTCTTAATTGCAGATCTCTTTGCTATTCAGATATGCTCTACAGTCAGCACAAGGGAATAACAAGGGAGGAGTCAACCCACTCAAGCTGGAAGGAGCAGCTGCACAAGCAGTGAAAGCAAGGGCCCACAGTCCCACTTGAGCTCCCTGAGGTGTTTTCTTTGCTCTGAAAGGAACTCTTTCCTCTGAGTCCATTCTTTCAGACCCAGCATCCCTATAGCCACATAGTATCTTCATCCGTTCACAGCATGTATCTCCTTTGAATGTTTCTTCCATCTTTTTCTCATTTGTTCTCTACCTTTCCCCTCTTTGACCTCTACACCCCACTCCAACAGTTCCCCTTCCAAACTGCAAGAAAAACTAAATAGCAACAGGGAAAATAAGTTGCCATTAAAGATCTCCATGCTACTTTATACCTGTACAGCAGCTGATGCAACAGGGCCCCAGTTCTCATCTCATTCCTAAGTTCTGCAGCAATAGACAAGGTTTATTACAACAATATGGATCACTTTCAAAGGCTCTGATTTTAAGACAAGCAATTTAGAACTGATTTTTCTAGGGACACCAAAGAGGGTGCACCCTTTCTTTACTTTCTGTCACATCAGATGAACTAACAGTCTCTATTTTCAAGGCCCGTCATTGCCCATCCCCAGATCATCCATTAGTCATTGCTAGGGAACTCACTCACCGCTCCAAGTGAGTTTGTGATATCAGTCTCTATCTTACATCTGTTTTGCATTCAGACAAGTCCCTCCATAATCCTCCCGGCTGGGATTTGTTCACCCTAGACATCCACAGATTCTATGACAATTCAAGTTCTTCCCTTCGACATGACACTTGGAGAAACGCTCAGCTATTAGTCAGCTGAAACCTTCGCTTAGTGGGTGGACCGTTGCGGTCCCACTGTGTGGTTGCTTAGTCCTCCTCCCATCTGTTTGTATCCATCTGTTGTCCCTTGTCCTATATGTAAATTATAAACTCTGTCATGAAGGGACTGTCTGATTGCTCTGGTCTGTGCAGCCCCTGGCATGTTCCCAGCTTCTGACTGTGTCTCTCAGGGATCAAAGCAACGTGAGCAACAGGCAATACCAATTGCTTCATTTTCAATTATATGAAATGACAACAACAAGGGACAGCTGGACATCCCTACACTGATCTTGATGGTTCAGTCACTGTTTGCTTGCTATCACAAAGGACTAAATTCTTGCATCAAAGTGACAAAGCCTTCAGGAGTGGGGGGTGTGAGTGTATATTTGTGTGTGTGCACACACACTGCTAAAAGTAACCCAAGTCAAGCGTAAGGTCACACAGGGAACGGGGACACTTTCATTTACAGTCACTTACATACATGCACACTGCCAAGTGGGTGCAGGAGAAACTCTCCTACGCATCAGCTTCAGAGCCCAATGAAAATGCCACAAATTCTGCCTAATCAAGGCAAGTGTCTCTGTGCTATTCAGCAACATCAGCTGCCACAGACTCCTCTGCAGGATGCTAAAATAACCCCTTCTGCTTCAGTGGCAGGCTGGAGCTGGGAACTTTAGGAAATGCCAGACTCTGGCTTATCTGAGGATCTAACAATAAAATGTTCCTTATCGCATTGCTTATCAGTAAAGTGTTCAACTGGAGCAATCTGTTCAAATATATATTAAAAAACCAA